TTATGCTTAATCATGTTCCCAAAATGCAGGGTCCCTTTTTTTTATATTGTTACATATTATTAAAATAGGAGGTAGATCTTAGTCTCAAGGCGGTCGTTCTCTTCCGTAAGCCACTGAATATGCAATAATTCTCGTTGTATAATATTATCCATAGAAGAGCCAGATACGGAAGCGTTGGTTTTGAGTTCGAGTACCATATACTTCTTTTCGCTGTGATGCTCCACGAAAAATGTTTAGTTCATTCATTTCAAAATAATATTGCACACTGGAGCTTTTCATAATACTTTTAAAGAATATGTTGCACGAATTGTGTAATCGACGAACAATGTCGTCATTTCGAATTACGGTGAAATTACAAAGATTTTAACGTCGGGTTATTCGCAATTTTCTCTTCACTAACCTCGGGGGCTTTAATCGATTTGAATTGCATAAAATTACAATTTCTTTCCGACCCAAATGAAATGTGATTAGGTAAATTAGATAAAGTTAGAAGTGAAGTGATCAGATGTAATGATACATAAAAGATATGCAATAAATGGAATGAAGGGAAGATAGAGGATAACGACTTGTGGTCAGAGAATTGTTATTCAGATTGAATTTCTTCTCTTAGTTTTGTGGATTGAAAAGAGTTTTAAGCTACTTAGTTGCTGTCGAAGAGTGTTGTGAAATGAAGGACGAATGGACTGGTAAGATAGGTTTCTTATTTAATTCGTAAATTAAGATTTGCAGTTGGGTAGAGATTTTAGAGAGAGTGACCTTATGTATTCTACAGTGGCAATTAATAAAGAATCCGTTTTGTTCTTGCGTCCCTTCAATTGGATTTTAGAAGTATTTAATTTATATACTAAATTGAGGTATGGCACAAGATCCGAATAATGACGAATGAAAGTTACAAGATCACATGACATTGTACTTAACCCTCCTAACTTTTACTTCATTGAGATCTCCGGTGAATATAAGTGAGTAATTGATGATGCAATTTAATGGCGCAAGAGCTACGAACTGCCAAACTGTGATCTAGACGTTTGAGAAACGGATAAAAGGTAAAATAGAGGAGACATGAAGGGTCGAAAATAGAAAAGAATGACTAGAGTATCCCGAGGACGCGTCACTCGTGTTTATCAAAAACAGTAAACTCTTTGGGAAGGAAGATATCACCAGGGTTCATCAGGATCATGAAACTCATACTTACATGAAAAAGATAAACCCCTGAGAGGGGGGTATGTGGAGAAATACTAATGCCTTGCAGACGAGTGAAAATCCGCAGAATAATAATTTCTGAAAAGTTGTTTTGAGACCCAGTTGTGTTTGACGAGCAAAATTCAATCACTTTTTTTCTCCAAGACGATAGAATCAAGATTCGTAGTGAAGATTATAAATAGAGTGCCTAGCCCTGTTGGGCTTTAAACTCCCCTCTGAGTTCAACTTGATAACTTTCAAGTGTCCATGACAATTACGTTATATAAACTAAATGACTATTATAATATAAATTTGAATTTAGAATTTAAATTGAGAAAAAATTATTTTAAAATTTGAATTTAAAATTTTAAATGGTGTGACAAAATTAAGAGTTTCTAATGTTGTGAAAGAAGAGCGAGGCAAAAACGAGTTTACGTGGACTAGGGATAGGGGAGTACAGGGTAGATGACGATTGTCCAATCAGGATGCAGGAGCTCAGGTCTCTCATCTTTCTAAAAATTAGAGCTACTACACCTTAAACTCTATTAGTGTAGGTTCTTTTGCATGATTTAATTTCTTGTAGGGATGGGTTCGAGTTATTTAATATAGTGGTGAGGAATTTAGAAGAAATATTGTTGATGTAGTGTTGGATTCTGGGGATTTTAAGGGAATCTCTGATATCATCATTTCTTACGAACCGTCTGGCTCGCTCTCTCGTGCAATCATTCTAATAATATTATTTTGTAAGGTTTCTAGTTTATTGTGGTTAGCCTGGGTGGTTTGCTTCCAAACTGGACAAGCATAGGTTATGATAGGGCGTAGATACTGTGTATAGATAGCAACTTGTATTTTAAAGATGAAGCAGAATTCCGACGAATTAGGGGGATAAGTTTTTTCGCGGCAGATCGGAATTTTTCTTGAATGTGTGCTGCGTTGTACAAAATTGAGACGTCTGTCCAGTATTACTCCAAGGTATTCGGCAAGGTATTTGAGACCAGGGGGATTTGTTTATTATCAATGTAAATTGGTGGTGGGATGATTTGACGAGTTTTTGCAAAGAAGACACCCTCCGTTTAGGAAACATTCACGGCAATTCAGTTTGAACCTGGACACATACCATCCATTACATAGCAGTTCTACAAATTAGGGTACTAAGGCCCTATTTGGGGGAAATGGAGAGTGAAACTGGAATATGCATGATAAAACAGAAAATTCCGATCGCTTAAGAATGAAAAGCACACTTCCAAATCGAGATACACAGCCGATTCCTCATGTGGTTTTTTCAATGCCCCGGCTTCGCTACTCATGATTTGCTCCCTAAATTAAAATGGAAAGTAGAAACCATTCAAAGGTTTCTGAAAGACTCCCTCCCTCATAATTAAGTATCATTAAAATTAATTTTGATTAAATCTAAAATTTAGCAGAGTTTACAGAAACAAATATATTTTTAAACAATTATACTTGTTTCTGATAATTTGATTAATTGACTATTTCAGTGGTATATATAGAATTGTTGGAAGGGGAGAGAAGTCCAGATTTTTATTCGTTGATAGATTGGTTGTGTTTAACGTCGCACTAGAAACAACACAAAAACTGAAGGCGACGGGCCTCGTAATTTTGAAACTGGGTCAAGTGACGAGGACAACACCTGACTGCCACCTCCTTTCCCAAACTTCCACACCACGCCAAGGGAGGACTTTGACAATAGTCTTTGATAATAATAATTTGATATAGATGTAACGTGCATTAGTTCCGACTCACGGCGGTTCTTCAAGACTTGGAACCACGGCTTGACCGCGTAAGACCACCGGCCGCGAGTCCGCTACCATGACGTTACCGCACCCATTTCTATTCGATGAATTGTAGATAGAAGGTAATGCCTTTTAAAAAATCAGCATTTTTAGGGGAACAAAATATTAAAATATAGGTTTCATAGACGCATTGCCAAATTCAACAAAAAAAATTTAATTAATTTACTCGTAACCAAGCGTGTTACGGAAATTTGTATCTGTGATCTTCATTTCAACTGAATTTGATTTATTGTTAAAAAACGTCACAATAATAATAAACACGGCTGGTATTAGCGACGGACCTCGTAATTATAAGCCACTTTAAAGTGATACGGGCAACACCTTAACTAGCATCCCACACCAAGTGAACACATGGACTTGGAACCCCGATAGATTTAAAGCACATCAGCAGCACTGCACGAAAACTTTTTAGTAGAATTAGGACTCGGAACTCTTGACTCGACTTGAAACGATGGTGGCCTCGAGCTTATGACCCTATGACGGCTAGCATTTGAAGCGAATGATCGAAGAAAAATTTAAGCAAGATAGACGAGGAGAAAGGTTGAAAATAGGAAAGGATTGCCAGGGCTTCCAAGGGTCCGCCCACCGTGTTTGTCAAAGATAGTAAACCCAAGGGGTAAAGGAAAGATTACTCGAGTACCGCGGGGTCGTTAATCCTGTACTTACCTAATTACGGTAAGCTCCTTTACGGTTGGGGTGGGGATTCTAGACTTAACGGAATCCCTCATCATATGCCATTGATTCACAGATAACACTTTCCTATTGTTTATTTTTGAGTTTGTACAGTTTCACCGTAAAAAATCTCAATCAATTCCTATTTAAATGAAATAAGTATACTGTAAAAATATCGAATTAATTAGTGTTTTGCCGATTGAAATATTAACGCTAAAACTTAAAATCCTCCCACTATTCGTGGAATGCATGAAGTCAATTTGATGTTTGAATTCAAAATTTTAGTTCTCATTGCTTTTCTAAATATCACAGAAAAATACATTTAGCTTATCCCATTTGTTTCTTGTCAATTAAATTGAAATACAGTACATGCAATGTCAAAAATAGTCAATGCAATGACTGTATTTCACAATTTTCTTAATTGTTCTTTTACAGAGCAGATAAAAAAAATCATTTTTGAAAAAATTGTTTTAAATTACCTTAAAATTTTAATTCTTTAAGGGGGAAAAAATTCTCCCATTTTTTATTTGAAATTATTATCCTTCGCAAATTTCTTGCATTTGATTTAATCAAAATTCAATTAACTACCCAAATCTTTTTTAACCCATTCAAAGTTGATTTGGCATTTTCTTCAAAAATAGGAATTGAATTAGATTTAAAATAAAAATGGAGGAATGAGTACTTTTAATTAAATAATGTTCTAAAATATTGATAGATTTCTTTTTAAAAAAAAGTTTTAATAAATTTGATTCCATACGTGATTGCTGCCAAAATAAATTTTTTACATCGATAAAAATGATCACATTCATTAAACAAAAACATTAAATTAACAAATCCATTAAAATAATGCAATTAAATTTTATTAAAAGAAAAGACCTTTTTGGTTCAATGCATACCATATTAACCCGAATGTGTAGTGATACCAAAAATTCTCAGTAAAGGGGGGGGGGAGATTTTATCAATTAAATGCGATCCATTCATTTTGCATAAAAAAATAAAAATAAAATATAATACAGTCAGATACGCATTCATTTAAAATAACTAATAACACGGGTTACATTAGTGGCAAGAAAATTAAGTAACATGAAACAAATTAGGATTAGTCAAACAATATAGCTTTATATCCAAGCTAATACAGTAATAACAAAAGGATATTAAAATTACAATCCAATATAAATTAATATTTAAATTAAATAAAAAAAATTTAATTTTAAGCAATTCAATTTATTGGAAACGGTTCACAGTTAAGAAATGCAAAAATACACATAAACTGCCGATTTTTTTAAATCTTTTATTAAAGTTTTGAATTCTTTTAAAAAATGAGTTAAAAACAGAATATGCCGTGCCAGACCAGGATTCGAACCTGGGTTATTGCGGCCACAACGCAATGTACTAACCACTATACGATCACGGCTTCGAGATAAAGTGTAACAAAAAGGGTTTTCTTCCCCAAACGGAGTTACACTGTTCCATTTTTATCCTGGAGGCGTGTATTCAAGCGTGACATTCATCGGTAACACAGTCTCTTTGACATGCCTCCGCGTCCTCTTGATTCTGTTTAACAAGCTTAATGGATTATTTGGGGGAGGTCCAAAATGGGACTTGTGACGCAGATTCCCATCTATCGACCATTTTGAATTCGGGGACATAATGTGAATCCTATGGATTTGCTACTCACCTCCTCAAATCTCTGGAATACCGAATTTATTTGAATAAAACAAGACACCCCGAAAGAGCAAATAAAAAATTAAAAAAAAAGATGGTTTCTACGAAGGTACATTTTGCCTCCCATTTGCGAGTTATTTTAAAATATTTTTTACAGGACGGAAAACACTCAAATGAATCCTTACAATAGCCTTAAAAATATTTTTAAAATTCGGAGCATATACCAAAGGATGGGAAAATGTGACTCTGTGTAAAATGCGGTTCCAATTGGAAAATTTACGACAGTGGTTCGAAAAGTACTTGTATTTAAAGACAGATGGCAACATTAAGGTAAATTGTTGTTACTTTTGAGAGCTGCCGTCAGTTAAAAGGAGCCGAAACAAATTTGAAGTTGATTCACAAATTAGTTTTGATTTAGCATTTATTTGCTGCCAAACCAATATTTCATTGCTGTCGCGTCAAGTTGTCCCCGTTGATGAAACCGGATCTATCAAACAAAAATTAAAACGTTGGGGTGCTTCCGGCAAACCTTTTCCAAAAAAGGCGGAGGCAGCGGTAGCAATCACGGTCGCGGATTCGAGGCCGGTGGTTTTCGTCGAGTCGTGGGTTCGAGCCTTCATGCCTCTAAAGACTCGCCATGTAGTCGAGGCTGATGCACATTATATTTGTCGACGCTCAAAGTCCTCCCCTGGAGCGGTGTGGAAGTTAGGAGAAGGAGGTACCAGCTCAGGTGCCGTCCTTCTCACTAGACTGATTTTCAAAATTACGAGATCTGTCGCTATCAGCTTTTGGTTTGCTCCTAGTGCCGCGTTAATAAAACCAAACCAAAAAAGGCGAAGATGGTCTCATCGGCAGGAAAAGTTGTGACGAAGAATTTTTGAGGTGTGAAAAGCGTCATCATCACGAAAACGATTAATTGAGACTGAGACAGCTGTCTAGTGAGTCATGATGCTTACTGGAAAAAAAAAACATTTTCGGATGTTACAAATACCATCTCTTGGAATTTCAAAGGATTTATTGAACGACCCTCGTAAATAGGGTTTATTAAATTATCACAGAATATTGTTATATTTACTACATAACTAATATTTTGTCATGCAGATTTCAGATGTTTTCTATAACAATAGGCTCCCGTCTACCTGCCATTTTTATTTCGTCAGCTTAATGTTAAATATGTAATTTCGACTTCAATTCTCACATCTTTACTATTTGATCAATATGAATGCAATGAAAAGCAACTTAAAGAGCAAAAAATAATGAAGGCTTCTGAGAAATTACTTTTTTCCTCCAATTTTTAAAAATACCTTTATTCTTATTTTAATGATTCGCTTGTGAGTCTTCCGGTCTTTAAAAATATTTTTAAAAATCGGAAGGAAAAAGTAATTTCACAGAAGCATTCATCATTTTTTTGCTCTTTCAAATGCACTTTATTGCTTTTAAATAGATCAAATAGCAAAGAGGGGATAATTAAAGTCGAAATTCAATAGAATGAACATTAAGCTGACGAAATCAAAATGGCGGGTAGACGGAAGCCTTAATAGATATATCTATCGCTAAAATATAAATAGAAACCCTTTCGAGATATTTTTTCTACAGTTAATAAAAATATGCTCCGAGCGTGTATTGCACACACACACTATGTATGATTCAGAAATATTGAGAGGTTGACTAAGGACCGTCTACAAAGAAAGAAAAATATGAAATAAATGAATATTTTCCAGACTCCAGACATCAAACAAAATAGCGATTTCAACACAAAATTAATTTTTATAGCCTAACTTTAATCACATAACTTCAGAAAGATCATTTAGAAGTCCAGACACTTAATTATATCATTAAGTACAGCTGGCTTATTAATAAATATTCAAAAGATATTTGTTAGCCATAATTTTAATACACATTAACCATTCCAGCGTAATTTTTAATCTTTCATTAAGGGTTCGTTGCACAAAAGTTTGTAATAAGTTATAACAATAAATCAATAACAAATATATAACTTGTCTTTCTGCAGCAACCAAAAAAACTGACAATTGTATCTCCTGTATGGATACCTCTATTCAAAAAACACAATTCTGTCCGTCGCATCAGTGGCATTGATCAAATCAAAGAATATTTGGAAATCGATCAAAATGACTGCATAAAATATTTTATTTCATCTGTAGTTGACGATGTGACCTTTAATAAAAATAGTTTGGAAAGCATTGAGGAAGACGAAGAGCCAGGCGAAAGTGTGACATAAAAAAAACTTTACAGATGACTTAAAATACACCTTCCCATTTAAAAATAAAATTCTTAATAACTGTTGGTGACAGAAAAGGACTTAATATCATCAGTGACTTTGATATTCACGTGGAAAAATACGCTTGCAATGCGCAGACATTCAAACAAACCAGTGTAACGGATTATTTGCAATGAATTTCTGTGTAAGCACAAAACTCTGTTATTCGTTTCATACAATTTGCAGTATAAGCGTTTATAATAAAGGACATTCATTTTTCATTAACTTCAAATTCAAATAAATAGCGGCGACTGTGTTACTTATTTACTTCAGACAGAATTGGAACCTTTAAGAGATAGCTGTAATGGAAGAGCTATAATCCCTGTTGAAAAAAAATCTTGAGAAGGGACAACAGGTTTTTAAGTTATTACAGATCAGCAAATGAGAGATTAAAAACTATCTTTCAAGCATTAATGATCTCTATGACATTTGCGATATCCCTACATCAACTCGCCACAAAAATGGAATCCTGTTACGAATCTAGGCATGTTGGAGGGATACCTGAATCTTGCTTGGGGTGTTAATAAGCAGCACTCGTTACAGAGTGAGTTAAAAAATGCTGGCCTGGCTACCATACACAACAGATATCCATCTGATAATTGGCTTTATGTATATGCAGGTGGTTCTGCAGAAGAAGCATTAAAAAATGCTGGTGCAGGAGCACATTCTAATATTTTCAGTATAAGTGTCCCTATGGGGGAAATACTGTGACAAATTTGATGATGAGATAGCGGCTATAGCATAATCAATCGACAAATTAAGAAATAGCCTTGATCAAAATATTGTTTTCTTTATACACTCTATAACAATAAAAAACGACGCACCAAGGAGTTGCCCAATTGTAATGAAATTTCGTATGGGCATTTGGGCCGCCAAACATGCAAATAATTAAAATTTGGTGTCCAATGAAACAATACCTCACCGCAAGATTCGAACTCATTACGAGCAACTGTCAGGGTTTAAAAGAGGTCGTATCATTGGATTGAAAGAGGCAGGTTGGGCAAATCGGAGAATCGCTCGTCATATGGGTCGAAGCGATGCGACGATTAGAAGATGCTGGCAAGAATGGGTGGACAATGGCAGATTTCAGCGTCGTGATGATAGCGGTCGACCTAGGGCCACAGCAGATCGGAAGGACAGAGTGATTATCAGATCAGCTGTCACAGCGCCTGATTCATCGTTATCAACCATCAGATGTGCGAACCGCACATGAGTGTCCACCATGGCCTTTCACAGATGGCTGATAGAGTGAAATCAACGCTCATACCGGTCAAGCCTGCACACTGTCGAGCCAGATTACAGTGGTGTTTGGCTCGATCAGGTTGGAATGATTCTGACTAGGGACGTATAGTGCTTAGCGACGAATCCCGCTTCCAACTGTGTCCTGACGATCATCGAAAACGTGTCTGAATACACCCAGGGCAGCGTGCCGATCCTACTTTCACTATTGCACGCCACACAAACAGGAGTTATGGTCTGGAGTGCCATTTCTCTTGATAGCCGGACCCCTTTGGTCGTCATTAGAGGCACACTTACAGCACAGCGGTAAGTCGACGACATTCTGAGACCTGTTTTGCTACCGTTCCTTTTGCAGTATCCTGGCCTTAGTTTTCAGCAAGACAATGCCAGACCACATACGGCACGTGTTACTATGAACTGTCTTACAGCTTGTCAAACACTTCCTTGACCAGCCAGATCTCTCTCCAATCGATCATGTCTGGGATATGATAGGAAGGCGACTGCCTCAACCAAGGAATGCTGTACCGTTTGAAGATAATTTATTATTTAAGAAAATAGGTGAATTCTGATTTTTAAGTTTAAAATATTTAATGTGACTATGTACAGTTATTATACAAAAATATGTGACAAAAGATACCAAGACGTCCGTCTGGAACGGGAACCAAGCAGGGACTGACGCTCTTTGAGGGCCATCGACCTCCAACGGTTTTCTCGTTGGCGAATCCCCCCAATCTTCACAAGCTGTTGAAATAGCCACGATCCCCCTTCTGTTGACATCTCGGGGATCAGGTGTCGCTCGGGCAGTCCAGATGCATGAGTGTCAAAGTTGGTAGCTCGACCAACAAACATTGAAGAAGGCCGAGGAAAGTGGATATGCCACAGACGTTACAATGCTGATGACCGACTTTTGGAGCAAATTTGGCAAGAAATATAGCAGGAGACCATCAGAGAGCTTTATCACTCTATGCCACGTCGTGTAGCAGCTTGCATTCAGGCTAGAGGGGGTCAACACCTTATTGAACTAATTACTCTGAAATAAATTATTCAATTTTTCTGAAATTTTAATCAATTTCTATACTGTACACAAGTTTCCTATCTGCCAATTTTTGTCTCTATCGGACAAGAGAGTTGCCGCATAGGCCGGTGGTTTTCCGACTCCGAGGAGGGGGAGAGAGAGTTGGTGACCTTAATGAGGCAACATTGTTTTGAACCCTGGTCCAGTGGGTCCGAAG